GTTTCACGGGAGTTTTCTAAAGGGAAAAGTACGTTTCAGAGTATCGCTTGGTAATCGATCATTAAACTTATTCAAATTCCAGCGATTGCTGAACAGTTTTTAACATACCCGAAGAGAATCGTGAGTTACAGCAAAGACGTTCGAATATTTTAATAGGGAGAACTTGTTACGTTTTTTCTTATATCGTACTTTTGGAAGTTAAAATATCGAAGAGTAATTACAAGTATTAATCTGTAAGGCTGTAATCGAGACGTTTACATTGTTACATTTGTTGCATCTACAATACATTTATACACGTAACTTACATGTATTGTACTTTCAGAAGATAAAACATCAAAATATAAACACACACACACACACACACAAACACTAGACTTGTGCACATAATTCTACAGGTTGCAGAAAATGAAGCAAATGTATACAACAGTAGTAGTTGTGAGCTAGCTAGAAGATTAAAAAGTGATTAAAATTAGCCAGAAGATTAAACAATAATTAAAATCACTTTCAAACCACATAATGTAATTTTACACAAGAAACAGAATTACCAAACACTTTAAATTACAAGCTATCTCTTTGTTACTCTGACATATGTATCTCACTGACCTGTTCTAAACTGCAGCAGATAAGAAAAACGACAAAATGCGACGACGAAATTACAACAGAACCTAAGTCTTCTAAACTTTTTTTTCATCATGGAATATAATTAACAACAAACAAGTTTTAACCCTTTGCACTCCGCTGTCCCCTCTCGTGGGACATCGTAATTCTAGCATTATCAATCGGATGTCCCCTCTCGTGGGACATTCAAGTTTATTAGTGATTACGGGGAATTGAGTTATTTCAGCGCAACTTTTTCAGACATATGCATGTTTCCTTGAAGTTTTCTCTTGAAATGGCACAAGAAATCAAATCAAAATATAGTAAAATTACTAAGATATATACAAGAAATGCCAGCGGGTTTTGACGAGAACGTGAGAGGCGTGCCCGCGACGATCCGAGCACTTCAAAGATGCCACTTGATAAGAGCGATAAGGCAAATTTGTAGAAGAAAGATCGGTATGCGAACTTAGCACGCACTGCATAGTGAGGTTTATAATCATAAAATCTGGAGGAAAAGATTTTCAAAGCTGAACTCGGTCTGGTT